GAGGTGGCGTCGGTGACGGCGGCGGCGATGCAGGGTGCGCCCTCGCATCGACAGGATCTTCATGTTCAGCGTCGCTCTCGTCGGAGTACATCGTGAGATTGGGTCTCTTGGGAGGGGCATCCGTTAAATCTTCGTCTTCGTCTTCATCCTCATCCATAGGCGACGGTCCGCGATTGGTGGGTTCGTCAGCGTGCTGGTATTCCTTCTCAGCCAGCGCAGCGTCCCCATCTTCGCCCCTGCCCCTCACTCCTGGAGTCGTCACGTCGTCGTGGTCGTGGCCATCCTCGTCCATGGGCGACGGTTCGCGGTTGTTGCGCTCATCTACCTCCATACCCTCCCCCCCGCCTGGTGCCGTGTCCTCCTTCTCCGCTGTGTCCACTTCTGATGAAACGCGCTCGACATCCGCATCGCCTGCTGCGCTGGTACCGCCGTGTTGGGACGCGATAAGGGTCTGCTTCTCACGATGTCGAGACAGCGCCGAAACCCCTGAGGTACCGAGAAGGGCCTGGGCAACTTCAGTCTCTTCTGTGCAAGATATCAGAACGAGCAGTACTCAAATTCAACAGTGGACTGACCATGAGACTCTAGCTGCGGTGCGGAGGCGCTGTTGGGTGCTAGAGTGTCTATGGCAATGTCAGAACACGTTCGCTGCGAATTGTACCGTACTTCACCTTCGACCGTAGCGTCGGCATCGCGTTCTCCTCCCTCGTCCTCGTCTGCATCCTCCTCACTCTGTTCTGTGCATCCGTGCTGATGTGAGTGCACAGAAGCGTCGAAAGTAGGCTAAGAACGTACCATTTTCCAACCCGGCCCTAGAATTCCGTTTTTTCCTGTCTTTCCTCCGCCTGTTATCCTCCTTCTTCTTCTCCTGAAGTGCTTGGATGCGACCTTTGAAGAAGTCGGCGTCCTCGGGGTTAGGCGGGTTCTTCGCATCCTCCTTCCGCCATTTCTCGGCAAGTTCCCGAATCATGGTGTACGCGTCTTCATCGCTCGAGCACCATGCCAGTCGCAGCAGTAGCTCGATCAGTTCGCGCTCTCTCCTCTTGACCCATTCAGGACGGTCCAAGTGAGCCAGTTGCTGCCATATCTATGATACGGTTAGTAGACGGAATCTCAGATTTCCCCGAAGATGTACGTACAGCGAACGGCGCTAGCGGCGGCAGGACCGCGTCCTTACCGTAGAGCTTTTGGCCGGACAGGAGAGTTAACGGAGAAATCAGCGCGGCACACAGGAGCGCAAGGCAGCTAACAGATAGCTTTCCCGGGTAGAAGAAGTCGTCAGGCCTTTTGCGGAGTCAGCATCACCATCCCCGGATAACGTAGCGAGGTGACTTACAGCTCAAGCTTCAGCCTTACGGACTCGGCTTGGATGTTTTCGACGACCTTCGGGAGGTAAAGCTCGCTCGCTCGGGCAGGTGGTTCCTATGAGATTCTAGTTGAGCAACATGACATGCCGCTGTATATAATGTTTACCTTCAGCAAGTGTCTGAGCATGAAGCCGGCACTGCTCAAGTTCAGGATCGCAATTCCTTCTGTCGTTTCCGCGTCGCCGCGCCGGGCAATGCCAAACAGACCACCTCTGCGGCCGCTAGGAATACCTCTTGAGACACAGGTCGCCCAGTTCACCGTATTCCGTTGGTAATTGTCCAGAAGATTGTTGTAAGCCTGAACATAATCAGCGAAGCATTGTAGTCTGCGGTCAAGTGAACTGACCTTCACGATCCTGACATCAAGTAGAACCTTTTGATAAGGTATATTGCCAGGCGCATACGGAATCCTCCGAGCAAGTTGTGGTACAGTATAGTTCGCCGCGGTGTCGAAAGCGACGAACATGGCGAAGGCGGCGATATATCGGCATCGCTGTTCGTCGACCATGGTGTTGAGGTACTGGGCTTGTTCAGCTAGCGCGAGCGGCTCATGCATGACATCGTCGTCCGGAACCAGACGCAACTTGCGCGTCAGCGTCCTCCGAGAATTGACCACAGAAGTGTCAGTTTGCTTCTGCTTGAAGACAGACTCCTCCCAGAGGTCTACATTCTTTGCGGCCGTCTAGATGAGAGGAAACATTAATATGACAAGTACAGCAAGAGGACACAGGCGCAGATGGGAAAACAGCAGTCGCGACGAGATACAGGTCAAGGGGACGACAAGCAAGTGCAGGGATACATGGGGAGCGCGTGAAGCCAGTAACATGGACAAGAGTGCCGGGCACAGACGAGCACAAACACAGAGGTGACAACCAGTCACATAAGTGTTGTACAAGCCATGCCCTAATGGTGGAGGAGTCCGGAATAAAAGATTACTAACCGAAAGCCATTCGAAGTGTTCGGCCGTTAGAAGACCTCGCGAGACATAACCCGCGCAGGAAGCCACAGCATCCGACAAGGGTCCCGCAAAGTCCAAGAACGAGGACTTGAACGGGAGGCCAGCCACAAGTGGAGAAATGTTGTGAAAGAACTCCATACGGAGCTGCACGGCGTTGTCGACGAAGGGCCCGATCGGAGATCCTGTCGCGCGGACATGCTCGAACCCGTATCCGCGTCCAACATCCTTCGCCTTCGCGCGACCCGAGGACTTAGACTTAGACTTAGACTTAGCAGTGGAAGAGGAAGCGGAAGCCATGGGGATCAAGCAGAGGAGCACGAAGCAGCCAAGGAAAACGATGATGGCGGAGAGGAGGAGGTGACACTCCCACTTTGCCGTGGTGATCGGAGGCGTCACGCGCGTGACACATGAGCCATATCGCAGTGCCCTGCAGCCGTCCGGCCTAGCTAGCGGTCACTCACCGTGAAGGGTATTCATAATTCAGTCATACCTAGATCTGAGGCTTGAGAGCTGAGTGCCACAGTTTCCACGTGCGATAATAGTACTTAAGGCAGACCGGTCAGTTGACGGTGTCCAATCCCAGCATATGAAGATTGATTCACCTTGAATGATACAGATAACGGCATATTAAGTGGCAAGTATACTGAGAACTAGTATAGAGGAACGTGAGTGGTAGGGGAAGAGTTCTGGTGGGCCGTAGCTGGGCTCGCAAAGGCGTTCGGAGATCGCCGAGGGAATCTTCCCAGGGCTCGAGAGGTCTCGCGTCGAGGGACCTCTCGATCCCTGGGAATTTTCCCTCGGCGATCTCGGCGTGCTCGTTCGAGAGGTCCTCTGTACCCATCCCGCTCTCCATTTCCGTTCCCGTTCCTGTATACTTGCTACAGAGGGAGAAGAATGGAATAGGAGACAGGTACGTACTGTTCTTCGTCCTGCGGGGACACCAATTGGCGGTACACCGGGCCGCAATGCCCTGCGAGATCAGCTTTCGCTGCTATTAGGTATGTTGGGCATTGCTATTATCTGCATACAGCGTCTGCGCGTACTGTAAGTCATAATGAAGAGCGGAGCGCGCGTAGGGAACCTCTCGAACGGGCAAGCCGAGATCGCCGAGGGAAAATTCCCAGGGATCGAGAGGTCCCTCGACGCGAGACCTCTCGAGCCCTGGGAAAATTCCCTCGGCGATCACCGGAGGGACTTGTGCATTCTGAATCCCTGGCTCGCACCTCTCTACGCGCCACCATGTTCTCCCCCGCCCTCCCCGCTGCTGAATACAAGGCTGTGTTCCGCATGGATTAGATGTGACTGGTTGTCACCTCGACTTCCGTGCCGATTGCAGCTCCGAATCATGCCTTCACTGAGATGGGTAAGGTGAGTTCTGCTCATGCTACTTAGGGCAATGCTACTTATGTTCTCTCCATCCGCTGTTTGTGCTTGGCTGCTGAGGGCTTTCTCCATGGGCTTGCGATCATGTACTTACCGTACTCCCTCACAATGCTGCCTAGTTTGGGTCTTCGCTTTACTCTTGTGTGCCTCTCCGCCCCATCCATCGCATGTAGCTGGTGCGCTCAGGCAAAACATGGTTCTACACCGATGGTGCTCTTTCCGTCACCGACATCGGTAACTAAATATCTTACAAGAAGACTTTGTTTCTTCTTGGCTACCTTCTCTAATCTAGAGCACGCCGCTTCAAGTCAAAGGTATGCGACGCCTTTCCATTCATTGCAAACGGGACCCCTAAGTTACAAATTTAAATACAGCTACACCGTTTGATCATAATCGTTGTCCGACAAGGTATCCCGTTGGCAGCCTGGTATTCGCGTGAGTAATAGAATCATCTATGTAATGGGAGACTTACTGCAAACCAACCCCCGCCTCCCGCAAATCCTTACAGACCTCATTTCGATGGTCGACACTCGGATTCGCCGCGGACTTGTCCGGCAGGTCCGCCCGATATCCTTGGAATGTTCTCGTAGGCGCAACACATAGCAAGTGTCGCTCGTGGCAGGGCCTGCAATAGGTGAGTCATTAGTGCAAGGTTTACTGTTGCAACGGCTCACCCGCATACTGTATTGCCTTCTCTGCCACATTTGCGCTTTGCCTTGCGGCAGTTGTAGCAAGGCATTCCAGCCTTGTACGTCCCCTCGCTCCAATCCCGGGTTTTTTGCCGACTTCGCCGCTCCGCCTCTGTCTTGACAACCAGCGGCGCGCTGGGGTCCGCCCAGGATGGATTCCCAGGCCGCTCAGGCTGTACTTCGCGTAAGCAAAAGCCTACAGTTTTCCAGGTCTACACTGACCTTCTTGCAGGATGTGGATGGTCGGGCTGGCATTATCCCTTGATGGCGGTTGAGGTCAAGGTGCGGGCATGATGGCGGCGTGACAGAGTTCAGCGGTTATGTCACGCGAGTGATGTGGCCCAAGCTAGTAGCCTACAGTTTATGTTTTTGTACTATACCGTTACTACTAGCTGTCCATAATCGTGCAATCCCTATGTGTGTACTTCTCCTCAACGCTCCCTGTAGGCGGCAATCGGAAAGGTGGTTGATCAAAACACAAATTAGACCGCTGATCATTCTCGCGCCGCGACGCGACTTGGGACTTAACCGCAACGCGTCCTCTTCCTCCTCTCTCATCCCTCACCTCCGTTCCGCTCATCTGCTATAGCTACTGTACTTTCAATGGATCCCAGCAACTACTTCTCCCATTCGAAATCCTCTGTCTTCACCGCTGGGCCCGTCTACTTCGATCCTCGCACGGAAACGTTCAAGGCAATAGGAATCAAGCCCGGCGAGTTCCTCGTCTCTCCCTGCACTTGCGATGAGCGCAACACACTGTGCGCTCCTCATCAACAGTGCACCTGCACGGGTGAGATAGATCCGCTCGATGAACGACCCTGCGTCGACCCGGACTGCAAACCTTGCAAAGGGGACCGAAGTCGGTGCGCGGTGAAGCCTGGCTGTGAGTGCAGGAGGAACGCAGGTACCGAGCACATGTACGTCTGCGGCGCTATGTGTCATGGCAGGAGGATGAATTGCGAACATAAGGTGCGCTCATACGCACCGATCTGCTCTTGTACTAACCCTCCTCTTCCAGCACATCCTCGCACCGCGCGAATTAGCCGTGCGCGTTGTGCGCCAAGGTGATATCGGTTACGGTAAGCCTATGCCTTCAATTCTTCTTTCATGTTGCTTAAGTGACGTACAGGAGTTCGCGCTAAACAAGATATCAAGCGCGGGACTTGCTTGGGGATATACGCGGGGGAGTTGGTGACAGGGTTAGAGAACATGGAATTGGCAAAGTGCGTTGAACAGTACATCTGACTTGGGCCACAAGCTGATAGCTACTCCCTACAGGTCCCTACAAATTGCTCCCAACGTCAACCTTGGCTTCGCCGCGTATCTCGACCCGACCCTGTGGCAACTTCCCGACGATACCGAAGACGCGACCGAATCAACCATGTCTGAAACGACTTCTACGTCCACTCCGCCATCTTTCCCCCGCCGTGTGGAGAATATACTCGCCGCACACAAGGTCAACGGTCAGGTTCATCTACTGGTCTGCTGGGAGGGACATACCGCTCTCACCTGGGAGCCAGATGACGGTCTGCTCAAGCACAACCTGACTTGCGAAGGGTTGGAGAGCGATCTGCCCGACGATTCGGCGGAGTTTCAGGAGGATATTGGTCCGGAGGCGTATGCAATGGCGTCTGGAGTACTGAACGCTCAGCCCTGCTGCAAGTCGTGCGAAGAGGAGCAGAAGAACAAGGAGTATAACCGGGAGGCGTTCGATCGTCGCGCCTACATCCGCGCTTCGCGCCTGGGCAATGTGCGTACCTTTGATGCCTTGCTTTGGCTTATACTCATAGTTTCTACAGTATACTCGCTTTATAGTCAGCCATCCAGCATGTTCCCATGCTTCTCCCACCTCTGACCTCCCGTCTAGAACCACAGCTGCGATCCAAACATCAAGATTGTCATGTGTCGCTACGGTTCTGACACGCGCGCTCCCGCACTCCCGGTCTTGTTTGCGAGAACCAAGATTAACAAGGGTGCGCTACTGTCTATTCAGTACTGGCATGTGCACGACGTTCCGGAGGCGAGTAGCGTTCATGATGCATGGCGGTATTTGTTGGGCTCATAACGGGTTGTCAGGAGAGTCGAGCGCTCTTGAAAGCACAGCGTCCCGACGAGAGCAGTCGTCACGGATACAACAACTGTAAGTGTGGTTCCAAGAACTGTACGGGCTGGATTACCCTTCCCCCTCGGAGCGTGCTGGACAGCGCCCTGGTTCCCCGCCATGTCATCAGCTTGCTGTGGGACGATGAGTAGATCTCGTAGCATATCTAGTACTATATAATCACTCTTATCTTGCCAATTTTGTACACAGCATCATTATACTATACTGATTCAAGACTTTGCCCTGCGTGAAGCCTCGCTAAATCCCTGAGACATGGGCTTGCAAACCCACGTGACCGCGTCTCATGCGGCTTCCAGTGCGGAAAGTCGAAATCGCGACTTGATCTTGACCATCATGTCGGTCCCTCACCTCCGCTCTCACCTCCGCTCTTCGCTCGCTATGGCTTGCACAACACTTACGTGACTAGGTGTCACCTCTGTGCTTGTGCGGCTTGTAGCCTACAACGTCGTACACCCGCGTCAGTCGAGGTTTTCAGCCGACCGGCGCCTCCTCAATCTATCGGCGGAGACTTCAGCGATGGACAGGAGGCTGAGGGGAGAGGGAAACAAGGACGGGTGTAGGCCGTCAGCCTGGATGATACGTTGCTGTCACCTCTTTTTGGTACTGATCACAATGTACATCAGAGTCACGAGCATTCTGATGTCGCCACTTTACCGCCCCGATCTTCCTACAACTGCATGGGCAGACCCATCCCAGCCACAGAGGCGCTTGTCGCGTCGCCGTACACTGCTACCTTCGGTCTAAATTTGCTGTCTTGCCTGAGTTGCTGCCAGTCGTATATTATCTGCGGCTTTGCCGCCATCATCTGCCATCGCCTCTTCGTTCGCCTCTTTGAATGTGCCATTTTTGCGCTTGAGTAAGTCCTTCCAACTCGCCATTGGCGCTGTTGATCCTTGCTCATCATCGATCATAGCTCAAAGGGACAGACAGACTTTATCAAACCGCATGCAAGGGCCAATGGTTACACCAGGTTCGTAGATACACCATCCTATGAGCTTCAGCCATCGTGACGAACGATTCTGCTATCTAGGCAATGACGTCTATCACCACTGTACAGACTGTGACACTACACAGTTGCTGTTTCCTCTCTGTTGTCCCATTTAATGCTACTGCATGTACTTAACCGAGACTCGTGTACAATACTGCTATCTGAATGCTGCTTTGCGTCCCATGCATGTATTTGTACTCTGATCTCACGATGTCACACGACATCATCGCCGGACAAACTTCAAAGAGGTGAGAGAACACGATCACATTGAAAATTAGTAAAGCTAGTACTAATAGGCAGAACACAGACTTATAGCTCGAGTACGGAGAATGCGGAACACGGTAGGAGTCTACGTAGAAGCAGGAGGGAAAGGCAAGTCGCCGAGAGTATCCATGTCCGCGACATCCTTCTCGGTGGCAGCCTGGTTGCGTTTGGCGCGCTTGACTCGAGCAAGTATCGTGGATGGACCAGGGCCAGCAACACTGATAGTGCGCCTCGCCGAGTTGATGCGCGTTGCAGCTTCCGCGAATGCCATCGCCTACTTACGGGGACAAGAGATGAGTACTGATCATGAGTGGTGAGTCAAAGGCAAGAAACGTACCGCAACAACATCGTCGTTCATGATAGCGGCACTCTTTAGGTCCATGCGCAAGGCAAACTTGCCCTGACCCACTGGCACGATACGAAATCCGACCTCAACACGAACGATCTGGCCGGCGCGAAGCAGAGCGCCGCTCGTGCCGCCGTGCAAATCGTACATGCCGGCACTAGTTGACAAGTAAGCTGCCATTCGAACGAACCTGGAACGTAAATGACTGACATTCCCCTGTGCGAAGCCAGGGAACACGTCGACCTGATTGTCCTGCAGCACCAGTAGACCGCGCTGCTGGCAGTACTGCTGGACATGGCCGTTCGGGTCCTGCTGCTGCGTAAGCACCAGAGGCGTATCGTCGGGATGGGCGTGATGCGCCGGAGTACCGAGCGGAGCGCTGGCGAGGACCGCGTCCTCTCCGTCGAGGAAGAGGTCGGTGAGTGGCCTGAGCGAACCTTCCGGGCATATCAAGCTGGCCATGACGTGAACGACGCTGATGGCGTGTTTGATAGTCGCGATTGTGGACAGTCCAGGTGCGGTGAGAGCAATATATTGGTGACCGAAGCGCCCATAAGCCGGGATCTGTGTCAGCCTGCGCCAAGGTGTAAGAATCCGAGCTTCAGAGGGAGACTACAGAGACAACTCACTCTCTGTTCGTGAGATAGGGCATCGTAGACTTGCCGGTGAGGACGCCCGTCATGCTGAAGACAGACTCCATGACCTCGCCATCCCGGTTGACCAGGATGTTGACGTTGCCATCTTGTTGGAACTGGAAGTGAGCTTGGGCATAGGACGTCTGGACGGCAGGTAAGCAAACGTTCAAATGTAAAGGCGTGACTGACAGCGTACGTTGGTAAGGTTCTCCATCTTCTCAAAGGGCGGCACCATGAGCTGGGACTCTTCGATCTGGTCGGCGACGTAAGCCCTGGTCTTCTCCTCCTGAAGGTAAGTGTATAGCGCCGGGAGGTTCGCGGTGGACATGGTAAAGACGATAGGGCAGCAGACGACGAGGAGCTTGTACGGTGAAAGATGAAAGGAGGCGACGTGTAAGAAGTGTTGAGTCTGGGGATAAGGCCCGCAGCCGCACCGACACTGACCAGTATTTGTAGGTTCCGGCGCTTCACTCGTCTCGTCTCGTCTCGTCTCTTCGTCCAAGTCGACGGTCTCTATCTGTAAGCCAACATTACGAGTACTGCCAGGGGTCGGGTCGTGAGGTCCGCATACCGATATTGCGCGCGGCCGCGCGTCCGTCGGTTGCCCCGCTACGCCGTTCAACCATCACAAGCTCTAACGTTGGGCTGCCGCGCACGGGCGGCCGTTGTCCCACTATGCCGCCCGACCATCACGAGCTCTAACGCCGGGCTACACCGTCCTGCTGGATTGTTCCGGATGCGCGCTCGCCAGCCAGGTGGAGACCAATGCCACATCTGGATCGAGTTATGCTGATCATGGTTTAACAGAGGATCTATAATGGCTAAGATAGGATAGAAACACCGACTTGGTTCGTGAATTGTATGTGAGACCCGTTCACGACTATGGACTTACAATACGCGCTTTGTGCAAGCAGATATTCATCAGCTATGACGCGTTGGCTCACCCTATGTTGCGCTGAGAAGACCCTCCGTTCGAGTACGCCAGCCCTTGCGGCGCCCGTATATGCCATGTGGTGAGCGTGCTGATCGCGCATATTGAGGTCTGTCAATGCCGAAGGGTACCTTCACGACTGACAGTGAAATCTTTCAGTCTGTTTACGAGCAATGCTTCTCCCACTTTGCCGGCTGCGGGGACGCCGGGTTGCTGACGACCATTCAGCGGCCGCCTGTTTCCTCGTCGTACGTCCTCGAGGCCGATAATACGGAGCATCTTCCTCACAGTACAGTTCTCCAGTTCCCTCAGACGCGCAATATCCGTTCTTTACCTCCCTTCACGCGATATCTCATTGGTTCTCTGGCTCCCGTTGGGGCGCCCGTATAGATATTCCCGGTGATCGTCGTCCCTTGCTAATCTTGTAGAGTCGCCGCCCGCCCGACGAGCGGATCTTCTTCTCGACAGGACCGTTGTTCTGAAGTGACATCTCTCTAGGCCACACGATACAGACTTGGGACCCCGCAAGAAACCTCTTGAATCGTACCTCAGGTATCAGTCAAGCAAGACGATGCACTGCAGGCGCTGTGTGATATCACTTGGCTTCGGTATTCGAGTTTACGCTTGACTTCAGAGCTTTATCGTCTTGCCAGAATGAAGTCAGCCGCGACTGCTACCGCATCGAACCATATGTGTGCCTTTACATCGGCGGCCTTCATCGCAGTTGTCTGACTTCTTGCTTGCGTCGCACAGATACCAACAATATGGCGGTCGCCTACTCCTGGCTCCGAGCCAACGATCGTCGCTCCCACTTTGCCGTCCGCGGGACCGCAACCGGGCCCCTGAGGCAGCAACCGGCGTAGACCTCCGGCTGGCGTGTGGCAGCTTACGCGCATCTTGACTGGGCGGCCTTGGCTCTATCGTGCAGATTTTTTGGACAAGTCGCCGTCTCCTTCTTGGAACGCATTTGTATATAACCCACGCGCAGGCGATCCTGTCAAGACGTTCGCTCCTTAGTGCTCTCCCTGCCTATACGCGTTCATCCCACAGCTATCAACAACACTCTACTACCCGCTTCCGCTATCATCATGCCTCCCCGTCACTACAAGACCACCCCCAAGGCCTCCGCACCCCTCTCACCCCCAAAGGCGCCCACTCGCCGTCAAATTCGCTCCGAGTATGTGCCCATGCGCTCTGTTTCGACTTCATCTGACTTGGGACAGGTCCAAGGCCGCCGCGAAGAAGCCTTCCCCCAAGATCGTGAAGAAGAGTCCTATCGACAGCGACGAGCTATTCGCGTACGTGTGATGGACTTGCGAGCTGTCGGTGTCTAACTAACATTTGTTCATGCTCAGTGCGAAGGACGGGCGCCGCGGTAGCCTCAAGTACGGCACCTCCAGCAGGTTGGTGCTATTGACTTAGAACCGGCTTGACGCACACTCACTTCAATCATAGCAATGAGGAGCCTCCTGCGTCCGACACCCCCGGCGATAACTCCACCTCCTCGCCGGTTCCTCCCAAGAAGAAGAAGGTGTACGTGTAATGCGATACTACCTTTTCACCGTGACATCCCTAGCTAATTCACTCCGATAGGCTGGTCCCCGTCAAGGCTGTTAAGACTGCAGGCAGTCGTCGCGTGCCTCCGTGAGTACTCCGTTGTTCTTCATCAGTATGGCAGCCACCTGACGTGTTTATGTCTGTTCTTAGGCGCCCCGTGAAGCGCGACCCTAAGTATGTGTCATTTTTGTGTATTTGCATGTATCTTTCACTGATCACCTACTTAGCGCCCGTGTAACTCGCTCCCATCGTCGCGCCGCCACCCCGGTCAAGATCGACTCCGACATCGAGATCGTCATGGACGGTACGGTCGACCGGGATGAAGGCTACGTGAGCTCCAGCGACATGGACGTCGACGAACGCAGGCCGGTGAAGGACGAGGATGTGGAGATGGAGGTGGATGATGGTAACGCCGGCGAGGAGGAGGAAGGCGAGGATGAGAACGG